TTCAGAGTGTTTGATTGCTATACATTTCCACGTGATGATATGCCCACATCGGCTGAGCTATCAATTGCAGCAATGTCGCTCCTGAAAAAGAGTTATTGTATACCTCACTGGGCCTTACCTGGTACAATAACAAAAATAGTTTGGGTTTTTAGTTGCATCTACACACTCCACTGAGCACATGTGCTCCTCGAGCATGGCCACAGATGCTGGTGGAGCGACGCTCATTTAAAAAATATGACAGCCAATTCCGTGGCTGCCTCTGAACCTAAGCTGAAAACATGTTTAGTTATGATGGTTTATGGCCAACACCCGATCCACAAATACCAAGGGGACGTCACAGCGAGACACTCCGCTGCTCCTGCCGCAGTTATCTCGCTTGACCACCTGAATGTGAAATTGTAGTCTTTGCTCTGCATCTACATCAGCAGCCGTAGGGAGGAAGAAGAAGATGGCCAACGCCTGAGGCATGAGCTAACTTGAGTCTTTCCTGAGTCTTGCTAAATATTTGACACCGCCCTTCCCCGTTGTGTTTGTCCACGCACAAGACGTAGCCTCGCACGTCCGCGGCTGCGCGTCCCATCGGGCAATGGGCACCTTCAGGCCCCCTTTTACCCTCACCGCGGGATTCCCCGTGGAAACATAAAAAATGCTGCACGCATGAAGCAATCGCAGGCTCTTGTGTGTGGTGACCTCCACATTGGACACTCATTACAATCAATTATACATGAAGGCGATGATGGTGATGATGGCAGCTACATGAGACATTGGCAAACATTAATAACGGTGGACAACCTCTAATCCACATGAGCATGGATTTTAAAAATGCAACAGCAATTACTGTGCGCATACATTTACCTTGAATCTACTATTATAGAGGTAACAAACACAATAACTCGGTTAAAAATGGGAAAAATATACCACTACCCCCACTGAGACTTTATCCTAATTGGGGAAAACACACGGTGCTGGGAAAATGGTTACCCGCTACACGAGATTACGAGCGTAGGTGAAAGGTGAACGCAACGGTGGGCGAAGGGAGTGGCGAACATCACGGCCATGACGTCCTAGCCGAAAGACTCATAGAAACCCAGAGACTCAGACAGAGACCCGTAGATCTGTCCTGACTATCTCATCACAACATCCCTTGGTCTCCGGACTCGTGGAAACCGCTCCGGTGCCGGTCACACCAATCAGACCTCCCCTGTCCTGAGCTCACGTCTCACTCAGCGGCCGCCGCTTTTGTCGAATCGTATCACGCCCGAGGAGTGAGAGGTACAACTGATGTAGAGAAAGAGGCGGTGCACAGTCCAAGTGTAAGCGTGACCTCAATGGGGCTCATCTCCATCGCTGCCTCCTCCCTCCGCCTGCCCCAGAAACCCGCTCCCCTTTATTAACCAAGCCCTTCCCCTGACCCTATCCCCCATCCCGCCTCAGCCTCATTACTCTCCCGCCCCGGCCTTGTACATCATCTTCATTCTATATCCTGCGCGGAATAAATCTCACTCCTCGTGATCGCTACGTCCTCCCCCATCCGTGGGTACTTGTTTTATCAACCCCTTCAGGAGGTGATGGGCTGAGTTGGCATCCAGCAAGGATCTTAATGCACGACTTCCTAATTCGCAAGTCAGGACGACTGCGGCGGTGCTGTCGACTTGGACACACTCAGGCACACATTATTAAACATTAACACCTCGATTACCGGTGTGTCAGAGTGGAGCAACGTGGGTAATAGAGTAAATAGCCGACCAAGTGTCTCAGCGGCAGAGCCAGCGGCTCCCAATCAGAAGGTTACGAGTTCAATCCTGGTTAGGGGATGACTCAGCCAATCATTCCTTTGGGAGGGATACAATTAATACCACGACATGCAATAGTCAAGTGGTTTTCCTATATTTAGACTCACCACCTCCATCAGCCTATGGGCTGTGCAGACCAATAAATCGTATCCAACTATCAATGGGAGCCTAGCTATGCATTAAAACGAAACGATATTTTATTGTACCAGGTAAGGCCCGCTGAGATGTGTAGGAGCTCTTTGTCGAACCGACCTGGCCACGAACAATAACCCAACGATGTGGCTTATCATGTGGACATGTATAGCAGCCAAATACTCGAAACGCACGTTGATTCTAAATGTGGAGGGGAAACCAGAGGACCCGGAGAACAATCAATGCCACCACAGGAAAAAGGACATGTAAACTGCACATATACAGGCGTCAGGGTCGGGATCGAGCCCACGACCTCCTGTATACCAGGCGATGTAATTAACATCTCCTAGCCACCATGGCGCATAATGCTCCACATTGGTACGTAACCAGTTGTTTATGATATTGTGTTTTTGCCCTACCATGAAAATGGAGTTTTCTTGCCAAAAACAACTGGTAAACACAGTAGCATTTGTTTTACAAGGCACACTGCTGATGAGATATCGAAGGTAGAAACTGGCTGAGAATTCGTTATTTGCACAAATGCCTAAAGGCTGATGAAAAGTTACATTGAGGTTTTTTTTTAAACAAAGTGATGTTCTGCTCAATAAGCAGCGTCTCCGAACACAATGAGCTGCATATAACATGTCAAGGAAAAATCTTGATTAGAAGCTTTCGTGACTGCAGGAATCCATACTCTTTGGTTCTTTCGGTAAAATCACGTAGGTAGAGAAAGAAAACAAAATAAAAATAATATATATTATAATATATATGATAAATAATATATTATTTTTCTTTTGTTTTCTTTTTCTACCTACGTGACTTTAGCGAAAAAACCAAAGAGTATGTCAATCAAAGTCTACGAAGAAATCCTAAATTATTGAAAATGTCCGTAAGTAATTTTATATATGATGAAGTCAAAGTGATTTCCTACTGCTCAAATGAGCATTGAGGCGGTGCTCATCTGTTTAAAAGCCCAGAGCCAGTCGTGGACATTCCACATTGCTATGGCTGGTGTGAGAATTTTGTCACCAGTGGACAACCACTGCTGACGATCCCACAAAGTGGGACCTATTTTATAGACCCCAGAAGGATGATGGGCTGAGGCAGAATCAGAATCTTTATTTATGCTGAAGAAATCAGACGAGCTAGGAAGCTCTTCTTCACAGATGTCCAGTCGCAGTCAATCGCCAAACGGGAGTTGAACTCGCACCCTTCCGACTGCGAGCCACTCGCACTTTCCGCCGAGCCACCTGGGCGGATATTGATTGTATGTTGAGAGATAGATGGAAGTTATTTATTAGTTGAACAACACCGAGCGAGTGGGACACAAAAACAGGCTCCGACTGACACTTCGGCCAAACCACACGAGGGCCGACCCTGGCGCCTGCTGTGTGTTTGGAGTTTCCATGTTTCTCTCCCCACCGTGGTCACGTGGATTTTTTTCTCCAGTTTTTCCCTCCACATTTAGAAACGTGCATTTCGACTGTTGAGATGATTTTGCTGCTATCATTTGTGGCCAGGTCGCTTTTGAAAAATAAGTTAATACCTCAATGGGCTTTGTCTGGTAGGATGGGGATGGTTTAGTTGTTTGTGTTTAGGTGATTTGTTTAGCTTTCATGCACTTTGCACTACTATCGTGTTTGTGTATTGTTTGTTGTTGTAAGGTTCTTAACTGCCCCGACTGGACATCTGTGAAAAAGAGCTTTACAGCTCATCGGATTCCTCCAGAATAAATCAATATTCCGATGATTCTGAACCCGATTTCGGGCCGCACGTGCCAGGCGGCGCTGCCACAGTGCGACGACGCCTCGCAAATACGTCCCTCTGCCCCGCAACAATCGGAACGCAAAATGCCTTCTAACAATGGCAATTACTTAGTACATCCAGAGCGGCCTGAGAGACTGCACCATTCCATTAGCGCGCTGGCACATGCCGTGAACCGTGTGCAGTTTAAATCGAACGGCACATCGCGGGAGCCGAGGACGCGCACGCACGTGCACCCAGCGAGCCGCCCTGGCGCATCTGTCCTCTGGGCCTGCTGCTTTGTGTGCGCACGGTGTGCAGGTCCTCCCCACGACACACAGACAAAGATCCCCCCTATAGCATTCAGCAGACTGTTGCGGCAAGTGTTGTTAGCGAGCACCTACGAAGGCCGGCACTGCACGAGCGGGCAACACTACGCCCGGCCGCCTTTGTCTCTCCAGTTGTTTACCCACCACACCGGTTACTCCTTTCAGGCAGAGTCGACCTAGGGGAAGCCCAGGAGCGGTTCAGATAATCGTCGCTGGTGTTGGTCGTGAGCGGGAATCGAACTCGGGCGCCGGGTTCGTAGCGCAGCGCGCTAACCGCTGCACTACCGCTCCCCACAAACGCACACACAAAACCAAACCAACCCTCAAGCAGCAAATGAGTCGAGGGAACAGGAGCCCAGTGGAGTCGAGAAGGCCGAGGCTCTGCGGGATTGTTCTAAGGACACCACAGAGCCTTGCAGATAAAAAAAAACACACTACCTTAACATGTTGGATTTTGCAGCCACTAACCATGATTCATCGTCGACCGTTGAGTTGGGGCCACGTAATGATCCAGCCCAATTGTTTTTTGCCGCGAAAACCTCCACCGCCCCACACATACAGCCAAACCACCGCAATCGTCACGCGGTGCACGAGTGTTTAACGCGCCGTGGCGACTGTTTCAGCTCACTCACCGGCGAGTTGAAGACGAACCCTCATGGCCTCATTGAGCAGCTAAGACTATTCTCTTGAAACTCCGCACGCATCGTCAGCCACGCTCACTGGAGGTGGGTTTGGCTGTTCTTCAACTCACGGTTGTACAGCACGTGACATTTGCATTAGTTTGGGCTATGTCGGGTGGTGGAGGGTTTCATGACGATAATGGCCTCGGCCAAAAATCAATCACGCACTGCCACGAGTAATTTTACTCCGCGATCTCTTTCATTACAAACATGACTAAAAACTAAGCATTGCGGAAAACTTCAAGATGTTTCTATTAAACGCCATGTACGTGTGCGCGTAACGCCGTGTACGTGTGCGCGTAACGCCGTGTACGTTGAAATACCTTTAGAAACTTCGTGTCGCCACAATAATCAGCATCTGAAATGGCAAACAGACGCGAGATCAGTCTAATTTTATTTCAATTTAATCAATTATTTCTCTTGGCAAATCCCTCGAGATGGAACATCTCGGGTGCAAGGGTGTGCGGCGTATCAACGCACGTGCGCACGCACGCACACGTAGCGCTAACACACGCTGCGCAAACAAACCTCCACAAGCCTGGGTGGGTCTAAACGCTGCCATTTCTCGAAACTGCAAACAATAATCTGAGGGTCCATCCCAAAGTGAACCGCAAGAACATTGCATCCATTCCCACCGGAGCAAAATTTGCTGTACTACAATGTGAACACGACGAATGCCAGCGGAAACCACAGTCCCACAATTTACACCAGAGGTCCGTTAAGCACAGCTGGCATGCAGGTCATCATGCGCACATATATGAACACGAGACGCCACGGTGGCGGAGTGCTATCTCCCTCGCCTGGTATACACAAGGGGTCGTGCGTTCAACCCTGACCCTGACGTCTGTAGATGTGGAGTTTCCGTGTCTCTCTCTCCGTGGTCACGTGGATTTTTCTGCGGGTCTTCCGGTTTTCCCTTGACATTTAGAAACATGCGCTTCAGAGTATTTGGCTGAGATATATTTCCACGTGATAAGCCACTTCGTTGAGCTATAATTTGCGATAGCCAGGTCGCCTCTGAAAAAGAGCTACATAGCTTACTGAACCTTAGCTGGTAAAATAAAAAATATTTTTTTAATATATACAAATATCAGAGAGGGTATAAATCACACAATAAAGTTTGTTGATATTCTGAACATAATCCTGAACCATGGCAATCCACCAATTCACTGCGCGTGGAGGGTGGAGAGTGGATTGTTGCATGGCCGCTAATCAGGCGAGTCCAGGAAGCTCGTGGGTTGGATCTCGACCCTAACGACGCCTGCTGCTGTCTATTTGGAGTTTGCATGTCTCGCTCTCCCCGTGGTCGCATGGGTTTTCTCTTCGGGTCCACCGGTTTTTCCCTCCACATTTAGAATCAACATCACGCATTTAAGAGTATTTGGCAGCGACACATCTCCACGCGATAAGCCGCTTCGTTGAACTGTCATTTGTGGCAAAGTCGCTACTGAAAAAGAGCTACATAGCTCAGTGGGCCTTACCTGGTAAAATAAATAGTAATAGTTGTAGAGTAATAGTTAAATAGCTCGGCAGCCGTACAGCCATTCCCGTTTGAGCAAACATCGCCATGAGCATCGCCATGAGAGTCACCATGAGCATAACCATGAACATCACCATGAGCATAACGATGAGGATAACCGCGAGCATCACCATGAACATCGCCATGAGCCGATAGGAGCACGGCAGGGGCTAGCCACGCATCTGCCACAGGCAGGCTGTTGTTACAGGAGACGCAGCGGCGCGCGTTTGTCACCGATCGTCTGCTAGGGTAACGTCATTTTGGCAGTGTTATTTTCAATGGAAAGATGGAGAAACCCGCGACGAGGTCAAGCAGCTTGGGAAGCGTTTGGATCCACCAAACTCCCCGCGACGCCGCGTCCAGGCACGCTCCGCTGCGACGCGAACCATCCCCTTACGTCATCGTTTGGCGGCGTCCTGGGACCCCGGTCTTAGGATCTGCGTGACCCACCAACCCCTGCCTCGGCACGCTGGATCACCGGTGTTCGCAAGCACCACGCCATTGTATTTCATGCCTTCTCGCACAGATCTGACACCTAGTGTGTGTCCGTCATGTGTCTGAAAGTCCACTTTGAACATGGTACACCTTGTCAGCCGCTGGTAATGCTTGCTGAGGTTTGCTATCGCTATTGGATGTCTACCAGCCCCCCCCCCCCCGCCCGAATAGACTCAGCCTTAAATGAAAACCAGGTACAGTGTATAATTATCGTCATCATCATTACTGGGCATGGTGCTGGCCACACCACCCTCTCATGCACCGCACTAGTCTTCAGAGGTCCTCGCTAACAGCACTTGCCCCCCCCAAACCGTATGGCTATGCGGATGATCTGTCTTTGTCTGCGTGTGTTTCTGTGTTGAATTGTGGGGGTGTGGGGTGGCCTTCACACACATTTCGTCTTCACGACACTTCTGATCCAGTTAATTTAAAACCCAACATTTTTTTTTAAAACCCAAAAACCATGCAGAGCCAGGGGTTATAAAAGGCTTTGCCCATCACATTGATATACTTGAAATGTGATTTGCAATGTTTGATATCCACAATCAAAGCCGGGATTTTGGCAGCGCTGCCACCGCGTTCGTACAATGGTGGCAATGGGCCTCCTGGAGCCGTCTGGCCAGCAAGGAGGCGGCGGTGTCTCGGCCACACGACGACTTAAAGTTCCCCCCCCCGTCGCCCCCCCCCTCCCCCCCTCGCCCTCCCCCCCCCTCCCCCCCCCCCCCTCCCCCCTCCCCCCCCCCCCCCCCTCCCCCCCTCGCCCTCCCCCCCCCTCCCTCCCCCCCCTCGCCCTCCCCCCCCCCTCCCCCTCCCCCCGCCCCCCCCCCGCGCCCCCCCCCCCCCTCGCCCCCCCCCCCCACCCCCCCCCCTCGCTCTCCCCCCCTCGCTCTCCCCCCCCTCTCGCCCCCACCCCCTCGCCCCCCACCCCCTCGCTCTCCCCCCTCACTCCCTCCCCCCCTCCCTCTCCCCCTCGACCCACACCGCAGAGCAGTGTGCAGCTGCACGAGGACATTCACTTAGATCTCATCCGCACATCCGAGTGTGGCCCTTGAAAAGGACATGAAACCGACTGTCAATCACTCCAGTTTCACGCATCATATGATACCAGACTGTAAACGTACGAACTGCCCGCAACGATTATTGGGGACGACGTGTAAAATGGTCACGAGTCCGTTAATAAATTAGACCACTACGCCCATTCACAAGCTCTCGCCTCCGTCATCGGGAAGTGGAATGTCCCCCTCGTGCGTTCGGGGCTGCGAGCAGGAGACAAGCACGGCCCTCAACGCTCACGTCAGCAGAAGCACATCGCCGTACATCGTAATGTCAGCCGGGTCCATTAAACACAGCAGCCACTGTGAGCCTGTTAGAATGGCGTCGCTGTGTGTATTTAAGACATAAATCACGTAGGATGACTGGCGCCAGGGGGCTAATAATCTGGCAATTGGGTCGCTTCGGGGTCCAATGTCAGTGCCGGTGCCCTGAGGTTGATGTCTCAGGCTCCTCCTGAGGTTGATGTCTCAGGCTCCTCCTGAGGTTGATGTCTCAGGCTCCTCCTGAGGTCGATGTCTCAGGCTCCTCCTGAGGTCGATGTCTCAGGCTCCTCCTGAGGTGCGCCCCAGACTGTCGCGAGCAGGCTGATCGCGGCTGACTGCGCGTGACCAAGTAGACGTCGCGATGCCTTCGCCCAATTGGTGGTGGGAGGTTTCCGCTTTGCCGAGCACAGGCCCCCAGGGAACCAAAAACGCGAATTGGGGCACTCGCGGGCCACAGTCCCTTCGCTGGCATCTGTGGCCCCAGGCCAAAGCCCCCGTCCGGGTGTGGGGGTCGCAACCCTCGGTCTGTCCGGGTCCACGTTGAGGGCCCGCACTGTGCGGGGATGCCGTGCGGGAGGCTGCCCCGCGGGGGCCGGCCACATGTCCTCTATGCCGTTCATCACACCTCTCTCTGCTGAGCTGTGTACAACATGGCGGCAAGGAAAGTAAATATATATGTACTGGTAGAAATCGAAAATGTTTGAACGTAATTTTAAATGTGAAGTCAAAATGACTTCCTGCTACGAATGGGCATTGAGGCGGTGCTCATCTCCTGTTGCGACACGGAGCCAGTGGTGGAAGTTCCACATTCCTATGGCGGAGCGACTCTCCATAGGACAACAACGGGACATCCGTGAAAGAGCTTCAGAGCTCATCGGATTCCTTCTGCAGTCTAAATCAAAATTCGGATTCATTGTTGGCTTCCCCTCAGAGCGTTAGACTCGTTTCATCGACTCCAGAGGACCGGTGGGCAGAGTGAACGCCCAAACTGAATATGAGCGACGCAGCCAGTTCAACAGACGACAAACCCGAGTCAGTTGGGAGCAGCAGAGCAGAATGTTTGCATTAAATATACAGAATCTGCTGCGGCTCCTGCATGGCGACCAACCGTCATGTAAGACACAATCCAAAGCCTGCTTATGCCTATTTAATGCGGGCACCCCGAAACAAAAACACGCTAAATGTTAAAAGGTTCACTTTCAACCTTTCCGAATGCCTTTCTCCTGCCCCGAACACGACTCCTCTCTCTCCGCACAGTCGCGAACCGCTCCAGCCGGCAACCTCCAACCAATCTTCCCAAGTGGGAAGTTGAGAAGGCAACCTCCAGCCTTCTCAAGAGGACGGTCTTTTAAGTTTCCTCTCGTTGCTCATGCAAATTGCATTTCAAAACAGCCGCTGCACAATTTGTAAATGTGCACGGGAAACCAGAGACAAGCAGAAAGACTGCCAGAACCAGTGAAAAGAATATGCCTAAGTTCTGTGGGCCTACATTGGGACGTCTGGCTAACTCCATTATAGATGCGGGGAGGAAAAGGAGTACCTGGACAAAACCTGGGCGTGTGAGGAGAGTTAATGCTCAACTCCGCGTAAAGATAGAATACAGATGGAAATGAACCCACTTTCAGCACTGGCATCATGACACCCTGGCAAGCCAGGAGGTGGCGGCCTCAGTGCCCACGAGTAGGGAGAGTTGCAAGTGTCTGTGTGCGATCCACCAACCCTCGCTACCTCCACGGTGTTGCATTCAGGCCACGCGCAGCAGCGCAGGCTCCTCCAGTGGCACGCCGGCCATTTATAGCCCCTGACCTCTGGTCCCATCCAATCACAATAGGCATTTCATTTACCCAGCATGCCACACTCAAACCAACGGTGGTGAAAACTCATTTATTTACTGACCCTACCTGGGTGCCGAACCAATTATTCCATTGCTCAGTCCACAATTCATTTTGTCAGCGATCAGCTCCTAAAGCCCTCTTTCTGGGGGAGCCTGGATTTCCGGCCTGCGATCCATGTCGAGACGTCCTGGGA